TGGTTGGTTTGTTGTTTGTTTTTTTTTTTTAAAATATTCTCCTCAATCAATCCATAATTGTCATGTTTTCAGGTTTATAACTCTGCTCTGTTATTAATTCAGTAGCATTAGCTGGATCAGGCTTGATGGAAACATAAAAATAAAATTACAATGAAAATAAATTCATAATTTTTTCACCAACGCCCCTGATGTATTTGTACACCCATTGAACAGAAGAAGTGGCAAAACTGTTACAGAATGTTACAGGCCAGAGCCCACTCAGAAAGCTTTTAGTCACAAAACATCTTTCAGGTGTTCCTAAATAATTCAAAATGTATTTTTGTGCGCTGCTAGTAGTACCTGAAGAAATCTCTCTGACTACTGGAATCAAGTGAACCTCACAGAATTCAGTATTCAGAGATACTGATTTCTCATGCATTACAGGATCGGCCTGTGCAAATAATGGAGTTTCTGCATCGCACTGTATCCATATCTTGATTAGGCTGGGATTTTAGAAATCTGAGGACTCAGAAAATTGAAAAGCTGTATGAGGCTGTAACGCTCCTATAAACTGAGATGTTACAATAAGTTGATAGTGCCAAAATAGCGACTTCTGGTTTCTTACAAAAAGACCATGTGATTTTTTTTTTTTAAAGACAATATTGTTTCAGGAAAATTACTAGTCTTATATTGATTAATTGATGAATTAGTATTAATACTTGATCTGCTACATTTCTGCTGGCCTTTGTGAAGTACGTGTGAAGGATATTGGCCCAACTCGGAGAGGATGATTGAAGGGCATTCCTAAGATCTAATGGAACCATAGTGAGTAAGGGTGGAAACTTGAGACCAGGCCTGGAGAGACATTTCCTCTCACAGTACTGTGCGAGAATAACTGCAGTGGCAGCCCAGCTTGAGACAGTTTTTAGCATAAATATGAAGGATCAGATTCCTTACTGTCCAGAAACCCTGTTCAAAGTGGTGCTAGTAATGTGCATATTCTTCATCTGTGAATAACTTATACTGATGATTTTTTTTTTTTTGTTAAGTGTAGATTACTTCTTATCATGAAATACTTTGTGCAAATCCATGAAGGTGAAGTAAAATGCTTTCTTCCTTGTCCTCATAGATTGAAGATCTGAAGAAGATAAACCGCGAGCTAAGGCAACGTGTCATACAACTGCTTGATAAGAAGCAACTGGTGGAAAGTCAAGTGGATAGTTTCACCTGTAAAAATGATCATCTGTGTAAAGAACTAGCTGTAATTGGCAAATTATCTGAGCAGCTGGAAAATGAATTGCTGTTGAATACTGCTGATAAGGAGCTTGAGGAAGCAAAGGTACCTACTCATGAGAATCACTGTGTAGTGATATTTTAATGTTTGCTAATATTATGGGGAACTGTTTGGGGGGTGTTGCCTTTTTGGGCTGAATTTCTAGCTTTAATCTCTGCTTTGAAGTATATTTGCTGGGATGAAGGAGGAGTAGGTTCTGGCCAGTATGGTATTTTTCAAGTGTAGAATGGTTCAAAGATTATAATCACACTTGCAGGTGGAGAGAATGTAATTACCTTGTGAAATCAAAAGCAGTTTTCACTGAAATGGCAAATTGCATTCTATGCATATACAGTTATGTGATTTAGTAGTAGTGGTCAGATGGGAGAAAGCGTATTCTTTGGGAGAAAGCATGTTCTTTGTTTGCAATTAGTGTAACTACATACTTATTTCTTTAGCCCACAGGTATAGTCAAACCGTCCCTGTTTTCTCAGTAAGACAGTTCTGGGGAAAGGTATCCCATGTTTCCTTTTTCATTCACTCACCTGAGTGTAACTCAACTGTTTATCCTAATCCTGGACTGCATCTGAAGATAAAAATTTTAACTGATTCCCTTCTAGATTAAGTTTATTGTTACAAAATGGTATGTTTTTAGCCTGGTCAAACTAGAAAACATGTACAAAATGGTCCTTTGTACTAGAACAGTTGAGCTAAAATGCTGGATTTGTACTAATGGTTATACAAAGTTAATGCATGTCTTGCTCTCAATTTTTTTTCATGGTAGATTCAAATTCGATACCAGCAGAACAAGATAAAAAAGCTGGAACACCTGGTCAACACACTAAAATCTGTGAGTTAAATACGTATCCTTAATATATATGTAGCTATAAAATCAGGTCATTTCCACATGAAATTAGTACTTGTACAAGTGAATTTCACTTTGTTCTCACTGATAATAGAAAAGTCATAGAATGGATAAACATCTCTGTTTTCATTTGTAATTCTCTGTCCTCTAGATGGATGGGAATTTGTTTCTGTTTTGCAACTAGCCTGTAATGATTTTACATTTGAGAATCTTAATAATTTTTTTTTACAAAATTGCATGTAACTGTTTTGAATACTTTGTAAATCACTTGCAAAACAGAAAGGAATAACATTTTGTCCTTAAAATCTTTATCTTAATATTCTGTCTTCCTTAAGGTGTAACAATGCTGTTGGAATATTTTGAAATGTATACAATGTTGTAATTGTAGAAATACTTGCCAGTCATAAATCTAACTTAAATTAGCATTTGAATTTGTTAAGTGGACTCCTTCGCTTGCTTCCAGTATAAATTGATAAGGATTTTTTTAATGTGTTCAAGATACTTTCTTACTGTAATTTATAGATTGGTCTCAAATTTGTCTCAAATTTGGTGGGAGGGGCTTTGAACTTTGGAATTGCAATTCATCTTCAAAATCTGGTTTAGAACCCTACATAACTTCCTGGATTTCAGCTATACTTATTTGCACATTACTTTATTTCCATCTCAAAAATTGACCTTTCTTGGATCTTAAGCAAGCATAATGGCCTAATTTCTTTCATATTTAAAAATTCATTGATAATCCAATACAAATCTACTTTATTGCCCTCCTTAGTTTTGAACAGATATATTCCAAGTTAATTAGCATTTAGCTTTCATGTCCTTTTCTGTCCTGTTAGATCTGTTTTAGAAGGACATTCAGACATACTCTGCAATATAACAAAAAAGAGACAATACAGACATTCAGAAGATACTTTAAAGTATTAAATGGGTATTTATTTTAATTAGATATCTGCTTCATCTTCATTTTGAAGAGTATGTTTATCCATTTTACACTGAAGTATCATGAATTAATAGAACAAAAGGTCTATTTCAGTGAATGAATTATCTCATTTTTGCACCTGCAGGCTAATTTACAAACAGAAGCTGAAATAAAGCAAGGAAAGTCACCTTCAAGGCTTGATACCTTTATTAAGACATTGGAAGAGGACAGAGACTACTATAAATGTGAGACTGAGAATTTGCTGAAAGTATTTAGAAATGCATTTTCAAGTCCTAAGCGAACCTCTACTTGTGGCAGCATGTCAAAAAAAATTTCTTCCATCCAGGTGAGCTTGGGAAAACACTTTGGAAGAGGAGGAACTTTTTTAAATGGTTTATCTTGTGCTAAACTACCAAAGCCATAATCACTAGGAAGAAAAAATAACTGATTATAAACAGAAGGATGCATAAGATAGGAATGGGCCAATAATGTGAACTTAACTGCCATTTTACACTGCATACGTGTATATCACTTTAAATGTTTACTGGCAGCTGCTTACATTTTAAGTGATTATTAGCATGATTGTCATTATCATTTGTGATAGACATTTGCTGTTCAAGATAACGTATTTTAGTGTATTTTAGAGAATTGTATGTATATCACGTCTCTAATACTAAGAAATAGATATATACAGTCTTGACTATCTAGAGGTTACTAGGTGGAAGGCTTATTAAATCTTTTATAGAAATTTCCAAACCAGATATAATAAGAAAGCATATCAAGTTTTGTTTCTTTACTTCAACCTTATTCTTTAAGGGAGTGAGTTCTGATACAGAAGTTTTGAAAATATTGAGAGAACGTGAAGAACTCAAGTCAGCACTGAAAAAATACGAGCGCCATGTGGCAGAAATTCAGGGTAACTTCAAAGTTTTAACAGCTGAAAGAGACAGAGTTGTCAATCTTTACGAACAGGTAATTTTATGTATATTTGTGTGATTAAGTAAAATAACTTAGGGTGATGTGGAAGAAAAAAATCCTGGTTTTGTGTTTAAAAAAAAAAAAAAAAAAAAAGAGCAAAACATTTGTTTAAAAAATAGGAAATGCGTGGGATGCTCTGCATTACCAGCCACATGCCACAGTAATGTATTACATTATCTATTCCATCTTTTTGTTATGCTGCTGTTTTTAAAAACAGGCACAGGAAGAGATTTCCCGACTTCGTCAGGAGTTTATCAAATGCCCCAAGACTCCTAAAAGTACTGTGACAGCTCAAGCTTTGTTAAGACATGTGGAGACAGAAAGGGATACAGCACTGTCAGATTTCCGAAGGATAACTACAGAACGTGATAGCCTCAGGGAGCAGTTAAAGGTTTGATTCCACTCCCCCTCCCTCCCCCCGGTTATTTTAACATGAAAACTAATTAGTATTGTAATTATAGTTGTTAAAGATTTCTATTCTAATCCTGAGAGTTAATTGCATTACAAGTCTGTGGTGAGTTCAGACTTGTTCTATGTGTGTTTTTCTTGTTATTTGATACAGATTTCCCAAGAGACTGCATTTAATGAAAAGGCTCATTTGGAACAGAGAATTGAAGAGCTAGAAACTACTATTCAAAATGTAAGGGAGAATAATTATTTATGGAATTGTGAATGTAACACAGGTGATGTTCGTGGTTAATCCTGCAGGACCAACCTGGCTGCTTTCTGTCAGGAAACAACAGGCTGAGAGCAGTGGATGTTACTTACCAAGACTGTAGCAAGCCTTTTGACGCTGTTACCCACAGTGTTCTTGTATCCAGGTTAGGATGTCATGGTCTGGATGGGTGGGCAGCTAGATGGGGGAAAATTTGATTGGATGGTCAGTCTTAACCAGGCAGCGGTTAATGGGTCATACTTGGCCTGGAGAGTGTTTAACATGGAACACCACAGGTGTTTGTTCTGAGACCTGTTCTGTTTAACATCTTCATCAGTGCCCTGAAGGAGACAGCAGTATGTGTGCTTCTAAAGTTTGCAGATGACACCAAATTATGGAAAACTGATATACTCAAGAGCAGGGCTGTCATCCACATCCTGACAAGGTAGAAGGAATGGACAACAGAAACCTTATGAAGTGCAACAAGGGTGAATGCCAAGTTCTGAATTTGGGTGGAAGAGCCACTGGCACCAATACAGGTTGGGGGCCAATGGGTTTGCAAGCAGCTCTGCTGAAAATTCAGCCCCTGGAGGCCCTGGTGTCCAGCAAGCTGTACATGAGCCAGCAGTATGCCATGGTGGCAAAGAAGGCCAAGAGTGTACTAGGTTGTATGAATAAGACACAGCCAGTAACTCAAGGGAATTGATTGTCCACCTTTAGTGAGCACTCATTAGACCACATCTGGAATACACTGCATCCAGTTTTGCCACCACAGTACAAGAAACACATTGCCAAACTGGAGTGAGTTTAGTGGAGGGCTTCCACAGTACTTGGGGCTGGAACACTTTCCCTGTGAGAGGAGGCTCGTGCAACTGGGCTTGTTCCACCTGGAGTAGAGGTGGCTTATGGGAGACCTACATCCTACCTGCCAGTACTCATCAAGAAGTGAGAAACAGGCTTTTCACAGTAGTGCGTGGTGGAAGGATGAGCGACAATGGGCATCAGTTGAAACAAGAAGGGTTCAGGCTGAATACAAGGAAATACTTATTTCCCATGAGGACAGTCGAGCAGTCCCCAGCCTTGGAGGTTTTCAAGACTGAACTGGACAAAGCCCTGAGCAACCTGACCTCAGCCCTGGCCCTTCTTTGAGCAGGATTTTAGACTAGAGACCTCCTGGACTCCATTCCAATGTGAATTATCTTATGATTGTATATCATTAAGACGTGATGCTCCAAACCAAAATGTAATTGTACCTTTCTGGCAAGTCCTATTTAATAGGTTTAAGTTACTTGTGTGTTCAATTGTTTGCTAACATATGGCGCTAAAATGGAAAATGAAAACATTAATATAATCAATATAAATCGTAAATATATTTACAGCCTTGGTAGAACTCGATTTTTAAATAGCTTAATGTTGATTTCTGTAGTGCATCTTTTGTCTAGATCTCATGATTGTAAATTCTGGTTCATTTTCTTTTTCCCATTCTGCCTTTTAAATCCTACCAAGCTTATTAGTATAGTTCCAAGGATTATAATATTAAACTGAGTGCATCTGTGATGAAGAATACTCTGTAGGCTTAAGTAGCTCCGAGTACTCTTGAGTAGAAATTAGCTTTAATCACAAGCTTGACAAAGATCTGTAGTGAATATTGGGAATGGTCCTGTTTTAGGTACATCATCTTATTTCTTCAGTTCATTTGGTACTCTTTGAGGGCAATACATCAATATGAAATTTATGGCAGTAGTATTGAAAAAGTTACCGCATACCAGAGGCTTACTGACTCGCTCTTCAGCAGTCTTACCTTTGATTATAGTAACAGAGAAATTAGTACTGAAAGTATTAGTAAATGAGGACAGGTATGAGGTGAGAATTTTTTACCTTAAAAGAGCTGTTTCAAATAATTTAGAAAGGACACTTCTTTAAATGTTAAGTGTAAGCATTTTAATAATGAAACACAGCTTTCTTTAAACTGGAGATTTCAAACTAGCTTTGCTGGAGTCTGTGCAAGAGTTTCTGGACCTGTTCTTTGTTCTAGGTCCAAACCTAAAGGCCTCATGGCAGTAACTTGGTCATATAGTGCTTTATGCAGATGGTTTACAGTGATTTCTCTATCCAGTTATCAGCATAGCTATATGACTTAGTAGAGGCCTAAATCCATCACTGGCAGTGTTGTATCCCGAACTGTGATTTCTCCATTCATACGCTAATAATAATATTTTCTGTTATGTTATTTTGCACTGAAAACTTTTCATGTTGATCAATGACAAACATTTTTGCCCTTGGGCTTAATTACCAAGCTAAAATTTACATTAATAAATGAAAATGTTCTCAGAGATCCGAAAGACAGGAAATTGATTGTCCTTCAAAGGAAGTGAAAATCGCGTTTCAGCTCTTTGCCAACTACCTTCAGTAGACTTGGAGTCAGGCCCTGCATAAATGAGATACTTCTTCAGTAAAAGATTTGTGCTAAAAACACAGTAGAATTTGAATTAATAGGAGAAATTCTATGTATAAATCAGCTTTTTTTGGCTTATCATATTTAATTATATTTATAGTTAGATAGTGAACGGTTAGAACAGATGTCCAAAGTGGCGCTAATGGAAGACACCATTGATTCTCTGGAAACTGAGATGAAAAGATTGGCAAGAAGAGCACTGGACTCTGAAACTGAGCTGAGCCGACAGGAGGCTGAATATGTTTCACTTAGGTAAGTAGAAGTATGTAATTGTATTAGTTTGACAAGTAACATCAGCCTGTGTTCATTGGTTTTCATAACTGTTATATAACTCAAAGGGAAAGGGATTTATGATGTTCTTATGAGCCATCCTTTTTGGAACAAAATTGTTTTCCTCATTGCTTATTTATATGTAAATGTTCTTGGCTTGTTGATATTATGATATGCTGAAAACTGTCTTCAGTGAGAAAGTAAAATGCACAGTGACTTAGAGTTAGGAGCTTTCTATTAGAAGCTGCAGGGATTGATGTTTTTTGGTAAATTGCATATGAATTAAAAAAATTTTTTTTTCATTTTTATTGTTTTTATGGAGGCAAGCAAACACGCATAAACTAATGAGTGTCACACATAGTTAGTTTCAAACATAGTTAGTTTCAAACATCCTTTTATTAGTGTCTGAGCTTTTTCATGAGAGGAAATAAAACTGAAGCCTGTCATAGGGTTTGTGGCTTGCTGCTCAACTGGAGTTCTTAACCGTGTTCAGAAGCTGGTAGTGGGAGTAGACTCAGTCAAAGCCTTTAGGGAAGAAAGCATAGGCCAGTGAGTGCAAGATGAAAAAGGATCACTTACTGGCTGGAGGGAAAGATCAAGTGCATGTGAAGTTTGTGTGAAATGATAAGAAGGACTAGGTCATGGACTGAACTAGGCTACAGAGTGAACAGACTGCAAGAAAAGACACTGTGACTTTTTCCTCTTGTATTTCCTTAAGTATAATTCAGCTAGGCAAACGCTCTCCTAAATCTGTGTGTCCTTACAAGTGGCTGGTATGGTCGACACATGGGTGTTATAGGGGTTTTTTGTTGGATTTTGATTGGTGGGAATGCTGCGTGCTAGCGTGCAGTATTATGCTGGCCCACATGCCTTTCTAAGGATACTGCGATTTCTAAAATAACGTGAACTCCATTGCAAATCCAGTCCTGAGTTATTGCTGCTCTATAATAAGTTGTCAGATTTATGAATACTGTAAATATTGATTTGTTGAAGATTAGTTGCTGCTACTAAAATATCTTTCTCTTTTCCGTCCAAACCAGACTGATAGTTCTTTTCAGTTTCTTCAACAGTTTGAGAATCATTAGTATTACTACATGATTTGAACATATGACTTGGGTATACCTTGAAATAGGTCAAGCATTTCAATCTATGTCCCAAGTGATTATTTTTATTTTAATAATTTCTGAGAAGTATTTACATCCACCTGTTGTAAAGAATGCTTCTTACTTTTCTGGGATTCTTTACAGGAGTATTCAGACTTCAATATCCAGAGATTGAGGTTAATGTTAATAAGCTGTCCCAGATAGGCTAAAATATACAGAAAAAACTTGCTTTATCTCAACTTTTGCAATTTTATTGACATTTCAAAAAGTAAAAAATTAATATATAAACTTCTGAATTCTCCTCTTCAATGCTTCTGCTTTTCCAGTGTATTGAATGAAAAGACAGAACAGAGTCTTGCAGAGACTCAGCGAAGCCTTGTTAAGAAAAAGTATGAAATGCAGCTCACCCAGGAGAAAATTATGCTTCTGGATGAAAAAATTGGTGAGTGACAGATACAGTTTTTGTAATAAAATTCAGTAGGCTAATTGTTATATTACAGTATTTTTCTTTTTTTCTTATGGGTTGAAAGAAAAAGTGTTGAATGCAAATAAATATATTTTTGACAGTTCTGACACTTCAAGTGCAAACCATCCGTTTTCTTTCATTGTTGGAAGGTTTTCACATTTTTGCATTTTAAAATTATGTAATAAAGCTCTTGCAAGTAAGTTTCAGTGACAGCACGTACTGTCAGCTGAACAATGTGTGTTGGTACCACAGTTGGTGCAGTATCTGGGCATATCACTTATATTTATGATCCACTAAGGCGGTGGTAGCACCCCTCAGCATCATAAGATGATGACGATGGAATCAGGAAGACATCCTTTATAGTATATATCCTATATTGTATGTTGCACCTTTTTTTATATTATGGGAGTAAAGTAGGTGGATACAGGAATTATTATTCCTGTAGTGGTAAGGAATATGTTCTCACTTCCCAAATTACAACTGTGTTGTGTTAGAAGTCTTTTATTATTTTCAATAGACGCAGTTGTCATAACCTGTTCTCAAATGCAGTTCTGAATTTGTAAAGGGAAAATAAAGCTAACCTATAGATAATGACATCTAATGTTAGAGCTGCCTTATGCTAGTAAAATATCTTATTTTCGGTTAATTACAAATTTCAAACTCTGGTTATTTGGATTTAAACATTTCATTCAAGATGAACATTTCATTCAAAGTGAACTTATTTTTTTCTAATGCTTTAGCTAAGGTGTCTAAGCCACTCCTCAGAAGGCTAGAGAAAAAGATGTTTTGTCCACATTAAAATCCACATATATTGTTTTAAAAGTCCTATACCCCTGGTACAGTAAATAAAGGACTTAATGTTTGATAGGCATGTCAATCTGTGTGTTGTTGCATGCTTTTGATTGTTCTCAGGAAACGTGTCCAAATGAAGCATATTTTAAGCCTCAAAAAAAAAAAAGTGTATTAAAGCTGAATAGAGGCTTTTCAGAATTTGGCATCTGACGTCTCATATAATCTGACTGAAGCATGTTCCAATCTAGATTCATTAGGATTTTTCATTGCCATAAGGCAAGTCTAGGCAAAGAATCTTGAAATTAATGGTGGTTGTCTGTATTGTGCTATTATCCCCTCACCACAAGGGATAACAGTGGAAGATGCTGAAGGAGAGGAACTGCAGTGTAGGTGTGGGGAGAGAATGTACTGAGAGAAGACAGTTGAGAGGTTTTAACTGCAGGATCAATGAAGAGAGGATACTGAGATTACAGTTTGGATAAGGCAGCATAATCCTAGAGAAATAGGTAAATAAACCCCAGGTTATTTGTTTGTTTGTTTAAAATTTATGGTATTGTTTTTAATTACACTATCATGTGGTGTTTTTCTGTAGATCCTTTGTGCCAACTTTTGCAGAGTTTTGTAGGGAGTAATCTCAGTGTCCTCTAGTGAAGCAAGCTTGTCTGTCAGATCTTCTCCTTAGCCAAAAATATAGAGAATAAAGCAGGTAATTGCAGAAAGAGAAAGAGCACATGCTATTTAAACTGTTAAATATTGTTATCAGATCTCCTTAGCCAAAAATATAGTGAATAAAGCAGGTAATTGCAGAAAGAGAAAGCACATGCTATTTAAACTGTTAAATATTGTTATGCAATATTTTATACTACCACTGTCTGTACATTAGAATTTTGGGATGATGCGCAACCAAAGTTTTCAGAATTGCTCACTAAGTATACATATGACCTATTTCTAGAGTGCCTGGTTTGAGACTTTGGTTATTCATTTTCAGGAATGTTGAGCACTCACACCTATGGCAGCAATCTGTGGCTGTGGGGTTTTTTTCAACATGGGATACTTTCTATCCTGAAAACTTAGGTGACAGTTTGGGCATCCAAAATAATCAGATAGCATTTTAAATTGATCTTTGTGCCTCCGTTCCATCTCTGTACTATGGCGATAACACACCCTTGCTTAGAGTAACAGAACAGTTGATGTTGGAAGGCATTTCTGAAGGTCATCTTGTCCAACTTCCTTTCTCAAGCAGGGCCACCTACAGCCAGGTGCCCAGATGACTTTAGAATACCTTCAAGTAAGGAGACTTCATAACCTCCCTGGGCAACCTGTGCCAGTGCTCGGTCATCCTCACAGTAAAAAAGTGTTTCCTAATGTTCAGAGGGAACCTCCTGTGTTTCAGTTTGTGCCTATCCCTTCAGGTAGTAATATACATTTATAAGATCCCCCCCGAGCCTTCTCTTTTCTAGGTAAAACAGTCCCAGCTCTCTCAGCTTTTCCTTATAGGAGAGATGCTCCGGTCCCTCAGCCATCTTCATGGTCCTTCATTGAAGACTTCAGTATGTCCATGTCTCTCTTGTACTGGGGAGCCCAGAACTGGACCCAGCACTTCAGATGTGTCTTGTCAGAGCTGAGTAGAGGGGAAGGATCCCCTCCCTTGACCAGCTGGCAATACTTTCCCTAATGCAGCCCAGGATATCATTAGCCTTCTTTGCAGGAAGGGCAGATTGGTGGTTCATGTTCAATGTGCTGTCCCACCAGGACTCCCAGCTTTCCTGCCAAGCTGCTTTCCAGCTGAGTGGCCCACACTGTGTACTGGTGACTTGGTCCCCAGGTGCAGGACCTTCATGAGTTTCCTGTCAGCATGTTTCTCCAGCCTGTCAAGGTCCCTCTGGATGGCAGCATGACCCTCTGGTGTATCAGCCACTCCTCCCAATTTTGTGTCATCAGCAAAATTCCTGATGGTACACTCTGCCTCATCATCCACATCATCAATGAAGATGTAAAACAGGACCAGACACAGTACTAACCCGTGGGGCACACCACTAGTTACAGGCCTCCAACTAGACTTTGTGCCACTGATCACCACCCTCTGGGCATGGCCATTCAGTGTTCAGTCTGCCTTGCTGTCTGCTCGTCCAGTACGTATGTCAACAGCTCATCTATGAGTATATTACAGGAGAGTCAAAGGCCTTATTGAACTCAAAGTAGACAACATCCACTGCTCTCCCCTCATCTACTAGGCCAGTCATTTCATCATAGATGATGATTTTCTTGTCCTTAATATGCCTGGAAATGTTTTCCAGGATTAGCTGCTCCATCAGAATTTTCTTTAGAGCCAGGTTTGAACACTGTCTTAGCAGGTTCCAGAGCCATGCATCCAAAAAATATGAGGTGGAAGTTTGAGTGCCTTTCATCTTGTGTTTTGAAATAGAGAAAGATTCTGTAGGAGAAATAGAATGTGAATATGTGCTATGATGTGCCTGAAAGACTGAGCTACAGATCATTTTCCTTTGGATGTTTTATCTCCTGGAAGTGGTTAATAAGTATCATTCAGTAAGCCAAATTACACTGATATTTAAAGAGTAATTTGCAGTCTGCATGGGTTTTATGAGATGTAAGGTTCACAGTAAGAAGGGTTGCTGTGGTTCTTCTCTGCGAATGCAATGTATGTAGATCATGTAAGGATTAATTGTCTGACCATTTAAAGGGAAATGTAGTGTGTAACACCTTATTAGTTGAATGACAATAGGAAGAAACATCTTTTAGAATTTGGTTTTGTAATGAGTAGATTGCTTTTTTCATTATCTTCACAATTTTTAAGTGGTGGTGAATTTTATAATGGCATTAGTCTTTTACATAAAGTTCATTTAAATAAGAAAAATGATTTGAGAAAAAATATCAGGCTGTCAATCTCTTTCACTTCGTCAGTCATTACATGCTGTGGTCTACATATTGCTTCTGTCTACTGTAATTCTGTTTAAGCCTTTATTTTTGTTATAATACCCGAGTTATTTTTAATGATTTATAAACATTTCTGTTTAAAGACAAATTTGTTTTGAGCCCAGTAATTTAAGGCCTTGACGTGAGGAAGAATGCAGTTCTACAAATGCAAGTCAGATTATTTATAAGTTTCAAAAAGGTACATGCTTCAGTGTTTTCTTGAAAGGGAGCTTTTGCCATGTTCTTTTATGCTTTAGCAGTGTATCAAAAGAATTTTTATTTCAAATGGGTTGATTTAATAAAAATGAAAGCTTTCTGATTATGTGTAGATAACTTTTCAAGACAAAGTCTTGTACAACAAGAGGAGATCTGTGCTTTGAAAGAAACCATTGTGCAACTTGATAAAGAGAAGGCATCTTTGCAAGACTGTGTGGAAGAAGGCAGAGAGAAGATCACTACTTTTGAGGAAAGCCTGGCAATTAAAGTAGGTTCTAACATGTAAATAGTCACATAGTCACAAAAGGTAAATAGGGAAAGGATCTGTTGGGTCATCACACCCATCTTATATTGGTATCTACAACAGTGTTCAGTGCTGACCTAGTTCTGCTCCAGTTTGAAGGCAACAATAAAACTCATGTTGTCTCCAACAACACTAGGTTTGAGCAGTGTTGAGCATCTCATATTTGATGTTTTGTATGGTATATACTTATCAAGAGAGGAGACTTTAAGTACTTTCCTGAAGTGGAGGAGAGTAAATTAGCCAATAAAATATTTTGTTTATCATAAAATTTAGCCTAAATTCTTCCTTGAGGTCCATTGATGTTAAAGATGCAGGGTGCCAAATAATACTGCCTTTGTTGTCATTGAAGAAGCATCTGAATTCTATTCTTTTCACCTTACGGTATGTTGCACAGTGTGATTTCAAACTATATAATGAAGCTGCTTAGTTCTTAGTTCTGAAACGCTATTTTTCACTTCAGCTTAAATCATCTGGATATTGATCTAGGATAAGCTAAATAAGGTATTTTCTAACTTGTGATTGTTAACTCAAGAATTCGCACTGATTTTTAAGAAGATCTTAAAGAAAAGATATTCTTAAAGAAAAGATATATAACATCCTCTTGCCATAAGCACTGACTTTGCATTTTTAAAACTGTAAATTCTAAAATGGTGTCCATTTTAGAGAAGAGATGGCTGTCTCTCGCCTCTCTTGTGTCTCCATTGTGGAATCCATTTCCTTAGCCTATCTATGCTTCTTTTAATATCTGTCTCTAAAGACAAGGGAGTAAAGTAATACACTTTGTCATGGAATTCTTGTTTTATCTATTACAAAATACCAGACTGTTAGTTTATTCATTGTAGAAAAACCTGTGATAACTTATCTAATAGGCAGAAAACGTTATTTAGTTTTAGGAGTGTGAGCCAAATGCTACCTTTAGAACCACAAAAGATTAAAAACTTTTATTAAAATTATTATATTCTGCAGAAGGTAATATTTGTGCCTTTATTTGCCAAATTAGATTATTGGAATTTCAGCTCTAAACAGTGCATGATGAAACTTGGAAAAGCACAATTCATTTTGAATTAGATAGTTAAATGAATCAGCTAGCTGAATAAAAGGAAAATATAAATAATCTTATTTAATATTTTCCCATTTATACTGAGGAGTGGCAAGATGTTTATTTTAATTCTGTCTTTCTTTTTAAGGAGAAAATAATTTCAGAATTCAAGATTCTGATTTCTGAGTTGGAGCATTCCACAAAGTAAGGATGAAACATCAAGATCATTATCAAATTTTGATTAATGTATAACATTAACTCAAAAATTGAATCATAGGATGTGCTAATGCATAAATATTATTTTTACTCTATTAAATATTAAAATGCTACAGCTTTGTTTTATGACTTGCAAACTTAACCACTGGAAAAGCTATAATTTGTATTAGGTTGGGCAGTACCGTCATACCTGAAGTATTTATTATTTGCTGCATAGAAAATCTGCTGAAGCACTCTGTATCTGTGAGAAAGATATCACCAGTTTGCATCAACAGCTACAAGAAACCAAGAAAGAACTTGCAGAGACTAACAAGAAGAGAGAATCATTAGCTCAGGAGAATGACAGGTTACAACAGCATCTTTCTAATATTAAGCAAGAAAATCAGGTATATTTGTACCCTTGACTAAAAGGAAAATTGTGTATTTTTCAAGTAGTGCATAGAATTGGTGGGCCCTCACCTGAAGTAAATCTGCGCTTGTTTTTAAGCTCATTTTTCAAACTCTGATTTTTCCCTTATTGCTCAGCTCACTTGTATAAAGCAGACCAGCTATTCTTACATAATGGTTTGGATATTTATCTTGAGGAACAGCTAATTAATGTTTTTTTCTGTTATTAATGTAAAAACACTGTGGTAGTTATATGGAAAAATACGATAAAGGAGGCAGTGAGTATTTCTTACGCTGTGCTGTGACTGGCCTAGAGTACTTAAAAGCTTATGAATTTAACTTGCTAATAACTTAACACAGCACACACTTTAATAAGGTTCAGAACTTTATTAATAGTATTGTATTTATGTTCCTTTAAAGTGGCTTTTGGATAAAAGATGCTGGAAATATTTGGTTGTAATACAACATTACATTATCTACTGTGTAATTTATCTTTTTGCAGTTACTAATGAAAGTAGTTAAAATACTTAAACTGAAGTGTCATCTCGTGCACACACAGTGCTCATGCATCAATGTGTTTTCCAAGCAGCTAGAAATTAAACTTAATTAAGCTTAATACCCATAGTGGTTCATCACTGTGTAATATTTCGGTTTTTCTTCTTTTTGTTCAACCTCTTGCCTTCATTTAAGTTTTCTGATACTCGCTCTTTCTTCTCTACACTTAATCTACTGCTTAGGATATATTTGTCTTTGAAAATACTTTCTGCTCACCTGGCTTTCTTTTCCTCAAGAAGCACTACTCAGTTTTGAAGGAGCAGATTAATTTCACCTGATTTTTAGCTATGTAAGTTTTTAAAGTTATTAAGGCTCCCTTTTAAGTGAAGAAAAGTCCTCCAGTTTTTAAAGTGATTAATTTTACCAGTCTGTCTCCCTTCACTATAGAGGAAGCATAGCTAACTAGTTTAGACCAAGGTGCCTAATTCTGTGCTGCAAAAATTATGTGAGAGAACTCCCATGCTAAACAATTCTTCTCTCAAACACGTTAATCTTTTCTCTTTAGCACCCTCCTTGAGTATGCTAGAAAAGTGGAGGTCCTAGTAGCTTTAACTGCCAAAGGTAGATGGTGAGTGTCACTAGAAACATGGATGGCTGAAAGAGATTATTACTCCAGGGAATGCCTATTCTTGGAATCCTTCTCTTAGAATCACAGTTGATACTGATGAGGTCAGCTGGTACAGAACAAAGCCTCCTGTTGCTTCTAGCTACTTTCAAAAGCTTCGCGGTTTTCTTTGCAATGCCTGGATGCTTGTAGAAGCAGTCAGAAACAAAAAGTCCTCACAGGATCAACTACTTTTTAATGGGCTTGCCTCTGTAGTATGTAATGGTTCCTCTAGGTTCTTCCATTAATTTAGGTGGTATTTAAAGTAGCACTCCCTTTTCTTCAGTTGGGCTTACTGGAAAAGTTCACAGAACCTTTCTCAGCAATTTACAGCCTTTTCACAGTAGGAACAGGAGTTACTCCATAGTCTACTTTCCTCCACCAGCCCCCACGTACCCCCACCTCCCACGTACCCCCCCCTCCCACATACCCCCACCTCCCACACACATACTGGTTCTTGCAGCTGAGAGCTCTCATAGTAATTTTGTAATGAAGGAAGGGTTTCTGAACAGGGCAGTTCAAGACAGCCTTTCTGCAGGTTGTTTTCTTCACTGTGTTCTGTTTCTCAAGCAATAGTTGTCCAAACTGTGTGCATTCTCCTAATATGTGTGGCTTTAATTCTCCTGATTAGGAGATAACCACCTAATTAGTTAATTCAATTTTTAGCTGTCTTCTGCTTTTTCAAGTGTGGGCTTTTAAGAGACTGTAACATGTAAAAAAGATGGAATGGATTCTGAGCCCTGCTCCTTTAATGGGGCAGGCTATTTTGTTATGACCACCTAGCTGCTAAATAAATTGTCTTTTTCTTAACTTCTACATTCTTTTGTTGACACTTTTCTTCTTTTTAAGAAGATTTAGCATGATTTGTAAGTCAAAGAAGGTAAATACCTTTGACATAAGCAAAATTTTATTTATAGAAATATACATGGTTTAGATTTTTATATAGCCTTAAATAACTAGTTAATAAAGCCATAGGCACTAGGTACACATGAATTCTATTTTTTTTTGTAAAAGTACTAACAGTATACTTTAACCTTATGAAACAAATCTTTCTTCATAGGTACTATGTAAAAAACGAGCAAAGTACCAGAATGAGCTTGATGATATGAAGTTGAAAGTCGAGGATTCAAACACAGATATCGTCAGGCTGAAGGGTGTACTGAAGTCTAAAGTGAGTATATGGATTAAACCTGTTAATAAAAGCTGTTTTTTTTAACTAAAAATTGAATTTTAGGCATATTTCTATGAAAGAATTTTCTTCCTCGCTGAAACTTACTTGCGTTCTACTAACATTGTTTGAACACCTTTTCTTAGCTGTTTTTGCAGTACACAAGTAAGGAAGTATATTTCAGTGTGTTTTTTTATATATATATATGTGTGTGTTTATTAAACTTAAGAATTCAGACTATGACTAATACAGAGACTTGCGACTCTTGTCTTTATTACCATATGGCATTAATAGTTAAAAAATATTTCTGCAATATATTGTTATACCTCATATTTGTAATGTTAATTTAGCCATTTTTAACAGATGTATTTTGAGCCATTAAAATGCAGCTATCTTGAACAAAACACTGATTCCTGAGAAGTCTCTCAATGTTTTGGCTAAATGGCAAAGTTTTCAATGGAAAGAGAACATCCAATACCATGTCATATCTGTAGATGTGTACATATCCCTGTTTTATGAAGCTTACTGTAAATTATTAAACAGACAAGCTTTATGTGTTAGGAGAGAGAGAACTGCGAGCTTTTGGAGAATTACCGCAAAGCCCGTGAACAAGGAGAAAGTTGGGAAGCAAAATACCATCAAGCAGAAGCAGATTGTAGCTCTGTTAGACGGGCACTGATTAGTGTGGAGTCTGAGAACTGCAGGTTGAAAGAGAAAATGGAGTCCCTTGAAATGGAGATAGAGCAAGTAAGTCAAAATTGTTCTTCCCATAGATCACCCTTGAAATGGTCTGGTAGTATTTTAAGCCTGCAGCTGTTTAAAGTTACACTTAATGCCACTTCTCATATTTTAGAGATACTTGCTACAATGAACTGTATAGAGTTTGAGTTTATTTAATGACATGACTAGAATTCCACTAGGCACACTTGGAAAAAAATCTTAATACAGAATAGCATATTTCAAGGAAAAAAAGTTATAAAATGTTCTCGTGTTTGGAATGACTGAAAGCATAATGTCACACACAACTCCACAGTATACCTGAAACTTACCTAGGGCTTTGTCACCCGTTATGTTCCTGTCCCTGCTTTTCTTGCTTCCAGCTTTTCAACCTTCTTTCCGCTGCTTTAGGTGTCCCAAAGATTCTCTTTCCACTTGAAAATCTGAAGAACTTAAAGGTACATGCACAGCATGGCTTTGAAATATGTTCTGAACATATAAACTTTCTTCTGGTTTTGGGTTGTTAACTGTTTTTGTTGCAGATCATTTCTGCTTCCTGACTACCACGTAGGCTACTGAGGACTACCTGTGCACATTAGATACTCAGGAAGAACTGAGCTGCTGCTGTTCAGGAAATGGATGAGAACGTAACAGTAGCAAAACATCACAGGAAGATTGTGTGGCAGATTTTGACATTTTTTGAATATGATAAAACTGGTATGTGGTCCTAGTTTGTCCAGCCAGCCTCAAACGGGTAGAGATTTCATTCTTCTAATTCCTTCCCACACACCTGCTATTAGGTGTCGCAATGAACAGGCTCTTCATGAAACCTGTGTCAACAAACCGAGTCAGAATTCCAGATGGATATCATGTTCAGGTTCATAGCAGTTATGTGTAAGGCAAAAATCTAAACCAGTTGTTTTTATTTAAAAATCTTAACGTGCTAAGCAGTGGTCTGTGTTCCTCGTGCTTTTTTTAGGCAAAACAGAGCTAGAATTAATGTGACGTGCCTCCCCTACAATCATCTCTTTTGATCTCATTCCTAAGAAATCCTTCAAGGAAGCCACAGTGCTTTATTTCTCCTTTTGCTTTTGTCAGCAACCTCCCAGGCTCATTCTGCCACCTACTGAAGATTAAGGAGTTAAAAGTGACCAGAAATACAAGTCAAGTGTCACAGGCATTTTTCAAAAAGGAAAAACCTAGGCTATGTTAATTTAAAATATACAAAATTCTGAGTGCCTTTAGTCAGAACTGCTGCTGCTGGCTTGTGGACTTCCCTTTAGAGTGACTTCTGTCATCTCTTAGTCATGCCTAAGTTTATGGGTGAGAGCAGTATAAATATGGCTGACAGTATCTCAGCATTCACTGATCATCTACATGCAAGAATACATTTTATTGCTAAAATAAGAGGGTCTAATCTGAAAATTTGATGGGGCCCATAGCAGAATTTTGAACTTTATTAGCTCTGCAAAAGGAGTAGAATTCTAGAATTAGAGTTTAAAATGTCAGTAGCTGATTTTGCTGTCAGAAGCAAGAACTCTTCTCTTCTAGTTTTTATATATGGGAGTTATTTAAAGAAATAACTTTAAAGTTTATTCCAGAATAAATGGCTGCTGCCTCTTAAAATTCACCACAATTACGTAGAGAGATTTTTGTAGGATTTTGGAAGCAGTTTTAAATTTTCTTTGCAGTAGTTTTGATCATCTGATACTGCTTTACTGTAGCATTTAACAACAGCATACAAGTCTCAGATTTCTGCCTTAAGCAAATCTCTTGTGAAAATGGAAGGAGAGCTTCAAAACATACATGAGGAGAGAGTCTATGCTTGCAAATCTCACATCTACACAAGCATTAAACTAGATGCTGTCAAAGAGCAATTAAATCAGCAGGTAACTTACACAGCAGAGAAAGTAGAAAGGGTATGTGAACTATATTAGAAAAATAAGTTGATGTTAATGTTATACTTAAGGGATCTGAATCTACTTTGGGATCTAGAATGACCAAAGAAATCCCTACTGATGATTAGTGTTTAAATTTCTTGAATGTTTAATTTGGCATTTCTCGGGGGCTTACTCCTCAGAGGGTGGATGCTGTATGCTATTTGAAGAGCTCACTGCTTTGCAGGGTTTTACTATGAATACTCAGAAGTCGGGACTTAAAATTGCTAGTTGTTTTCTTGAAAGATATCTTGGATTTTTACATCTGGTCACTAAGTAAGCAGAATAGCTGGAGTACTTTATTAGCAAAGAAACTTGACATGGACTTTAAAATATTTGACTGTTTTAGGAAGCATCAATATCTCTTTAATAATCTCTCCTTAATTTCCCTTGAAAATTATTTCTGTTGACCTTGATTTTTACAAAAACTACAAAATTAATGTTTGATAGTCAAATTTTTAAATACTCAGCTTAGATAAACTCTGAAAAAAGTCTTCATACATACTCACATTATTCAGGTATTTTCAGTATGATTCTATCACTGTTTTGTCTGTTGTCTGCTCCAGCTGAGATAATTTCTTGTTCTTTACAGGCTTCCAGCATTCTCTTTTGACCTTTATGCCTTTTTCCTACACCATGAGTAGAGCTGCTGTTTGACAGGTGGTTATTTGTTCCAGCCAAATGAGTGTGATGTCTTTTGTGTGCTTGTGGAATCCTCTGCAATGCTTTTGATAGGGAAGATTTCAAGCATATGATGTTTGTCTGAAGCTTTTGTGAGATCTCATGACCAAGCCTTCCTGGATCCTTCTGTGAGATTGTCAGTGAAGGGGCTTGCTGGGACTGTGGAGAGCATCGATGGTTTCGGGAGAGAAAAATGCATAAATGCAGTTGGAGAGTTGGAGAAAAGTCGGGAAAAAAAAAGTTGGGGAAAAAAAAAAGTTGGGAAATATTCACTAATTTTAATACCTTTTAACGAGTAGTCTTTCATCAGCCATGTATAATCTTCAGATAGGGCTCTTATTTTAGCTGCATATCTTATTATATGCATTACTGGATTGCAGCATATGTATATTCAGAAGTGGAAATTAAACCTGGCGCTGAATAATATTGTTCTTTCTGTGTTTATTTTCCTATAACTTATGCTGTCTACAGTTTTCAGTATTCTTTTGTCCTGAAACACAAAAGTAGAATATCAAAACTGCTTCTAGGCAAAGGAACTAGATTTTTGATTCGCCGTAGAAAATTGGATCTTTCAGACTGAAGACACCTTTTAGTTTAGTTTGGTAAAACCAAATTATTTGAGTTTTGCTTTGGAAAGTGAAAACCACTTTTTTTCTTTTTGGTTTTTTTTTTTTTAAATTTTTTACTTTTTTTTTTTTTTTTTTTTTTTCTTCTCTCCCCCCGCCCCCAACCCCGTTGGCCTATGACCTGAGTTCTCTCAGTATCTTCCTGGTTCAAACACACAAATGGTTATACTGTGAAAATTCTAAAGAATGTGCTGGAGAGGTGGGGTGTTTGTTAAGATGTCTCAATTCATAGATTTACTATGACTTTAGAGCTAGCATTATTGTGCTTAGTGTAAACTAGGTTTGAGTAAAATACAGGTAAAAGTGTTTGCAGTACCCCAGATGGACTCCATTAGATGTACTAAAATGCATACATGAAAAGATGAAGGAAAAATAGCATCTAGTTTACTTATGCTAAGATTAAAACAGGCAGTTTTCTGTGTCTCTGTAGCTGACTCAATACAGATTTTCCAGACTCCCTGTCTCTGGGTTTTGTTTTTGGGTTTTTTCTGTGTGTGTAGTTATGTCTCAGGTATGTCCGTTGTTCCCTTTTCAGTGGAACATACTAGGTTTTATGGGTATTCTTCTTTTTTAGGTTCCCCCAAGATATATAGATGCTTAATCTCATTTTGGATTTTATTCCTTTTCCCTTTCCCCCTGCTTACTATTTATTCTTGATGCTCCTTTAAGTATAATAAGTGTAATCTCACTCTGATGGAGATGCAGATACTGATTTGATATACCAGGTGTAATTTCCTGCATGCAAATGGTTAATCAACAAAATGTAGAACTTCCCTCTTTTTTAATGATTCTGTCTACAGTCCGTATCCATTGATCCATATATTTAATATCATTTTGTCATTTCTATCAAGTATATTTAAATTGTGATATATACATTGGGTGAATTTATAAATCTGACACTGGATTTTGACGGAGGGCAAATATAACACTAATCATCCATTTTGGAGTGAGAGCAAATTTTGGTCATTGATCCCAAACTTCCTTTTTTCTTTTTCTCCCTTTTTTTTAAAAAAAAAAAAAAAAAAGTTTACCATAATAGACAGATAAAACTTTAAATTGTGTGTTTAGCTGCAGAGCAAGTGTGAGTCATCCCACTCTGAAACAGAGCTGCTGAGAAAACAACTGGGAAATGAAAGAGCATCTGTGAAAAACCTGGCATCTTTGCTTGTGTCCAATCGTGAGAGAGAATTTCAGTCACAGATAGCAAAGCAAGAAAAAGACTCTGAAATTCAGCTTCTCAAGGAACAGCTTTCTTTAGCAGAAAATAAACTGTAAGTAAATGACCAGGAGAATATCACAGGTTTTTTCATTCTTCCCAAGTGTATATAAACACAGATGGTTTTATATCTAGCTGCATTTTCAAATGGCCAATGTACCTTGGTTATTTTAGCAGCAGAAGATACCAAAAACCTGCTTCTGATTCCTCAGCTATACCCTAATAGACTTTTCTGTGTAGTGTTATATTTTACTCCAAAAAATGTTCTTAATCTCAATTGCATGGTATAGCTGCCCTTTTAATTTTGGATAATTGCACTTGGTAACATACTTGGAGGATTATAGTTGCTGTCTAACTAAAGTGTATGGGCTTTACAGTGCTGTGCAGAGTCAAGATTTTACTCAGCTCAGAAACAGAGCAGCTCAGCTAGAGTCGGAACTGGATATCACCAAAAGACAGCTGGGGACTGAACGCTTTGAGAGGCAAGTATATGTTTTTGTATTGCACTTCCTGCATCTTATTGGGGTGAAATGTAATATAGTAGTAAGATCAATCAGTAGGATAAACAGCAAAGTTTGGTTTTGCTCTGCTGTACTTCTCCTGTGTGTTTGGAAGCTATTCAGGTCACTGAATTTAGTCTGTGTAGCTGTTATACATGCTGGCTAAATTAGTTGTATAGGTTCCCTTTACAGCCAATGGAATGAGGCAGTGAGATAAATTGTCTTCTGGAATTGCCTGTTTTAGGATGGGATGGATCACCTTCCTGAAGACGCTCTTATGTCTTCAATTGTTTACAATGATGCTTGTCTTGATCTATAGTGAGAGTCTAGGTGACTAGCTGGCTAGACAAGTGATTTACAGACTACTAGTTCTGCGATATGAATGGCCACCTTTTGGCTACACCTGCACTAGTGAACTAAACCAGGTCAGAGCATTGACTTCAGAGGTCCATACAGTTAGTACATGCTCCGGAATGATTTTAGCCCATACCAACCCACTTTCTCCCAGATACTGCTTGGGGCACAGAAGGTGCTAGGGATGGTTCCCAAATAGCAGTATGGCCAAAGTAATTTTTTTGGGGGGTAAGGGGGGGAGAGTTTAACAATATGTAAAAGCTGGCCACAGTACCAGAGAGCGGTCCCTGGCCTGCTTCATGAGTTAGCTTATCTATGTAGTTTCAGTGTCTTAAATAGTTTTCTTACCTGTGAAACAACAGTACTTCTCTACTTCGTGGATGTATTGAGGCTAAAGTATTACAGAGTCAGGCATTATTTTGGGTATGTAAAAGAGAAGGCTAAAAGAAGCAGAGTGATGTGATTATAGCACAGATTTGAGAATCAAGTGTCTTGTTTAATTGTAGTAAATTACTTTGTTGATACTCTGTTCTCTCATAAGTAAGGATGAGGGTTTTGGAGGGGGCACCTCTATATCTGAGATTAGGTCTTTTAAGGATGAATTTCTTAAATAACTCAGTGTATGTTTCAATTTCAAATTGGATTCTCCTTTACCCTGAAGTCATGGTAACAACTGCAAAACTTTTGGGTTAGATGTGCAAGTCAGTTTAAAAGGCAGCATCATTTGTGCTTCTTCAGCTGCACAGAATGAGCCAGACTATGTGCTAATACAGGAGTACATTTGTTTTAAAAGAAACTCTTATCTTCTTCAGACTGTTGTTCTTCTACTCCCCCTGTGTGAGTGTATCCATCTCATGGGGTATGGGTGCTCCCTGGTAGGGACTGCAAGTGTTTCTTTTTGAAGTGTTCATTGGCAGAAAGTTGAATCAGCCTCCATACTTAATCTCTTTTCCTAGTTAAGGATAATTCACTACTCATGTGGTTGCTTATAGTTGCAATAATATCAACACTTATTTTACAATTGGTTATCAAAACAAATATTAGAGTGAGCCTATGCTGAGGTAAAGATCACCAGTTTTCATTCTTGAAGAGAATTTCTCTTCTGCTTCAAGAGAATGACAACATAATTACCTGATTTGTTTTGGAAAGAACAAAACTAGGTTCCATTATGCAGTCTAAGTCAGTTGCAAAAACAGTATGCAGAAATCTTATGTAGCAAAGACTGAAACATTCTCATATAAAAATCCGAGACTGACATTAGATTTAGCTGTCTTTGAAAGGCTAGAGCTCTTTTCTTTTTTTTTTTGATTTTTCATAAAATGAAAACAGTGTCCCTTCAATGTCCCATAAAGGTTACAAGAATTCTGATTCTTTTCTGTTTTTCCTTAGAAAGTCATGCCTTACAAGAGCAGCTATCCATCTTGTTTGCTTGCAGAGAAAGGGATTAAAACTCCAAGGTGGCTTATTACAGCCAATCTTTTTCTGGTACTGGCAAGTGAAAACCAGAAAATTAGCAAGAGAGGAAAAATACTATCATTAAAGTCAGTATCGTGATAGTGTATAATGGAAGCAGCAGATGTGAGTACTGACTGGAGTTTTTTTGTTGTTAGTTTAAAGAAGTGAGTAGATTATATCCTTGTTCTAACACTGACTTAGCTAGTTGTATTGATTTACTGCCTTGGTGCAGAATGAAATAATGCCTGAAATTAGGAGGTGGAAGTGCCGGTGCTGTCAGGCCTTGAAGAACACCAACATCGTGACACTAGGAGGCTTAATCCATCTGTCTGGGTTTTTCTTTACCAGTCAGGAGAAGCACCGCCCTATCCCTCCCATCCTTCTCACTGCAGAAGCAGTTTGGACTCATGTGGAAACAACAGGTTTAATTTATTGTTCTGTTTTGGCTGTGGTGAGCAAGCACAGGGACTGACTGTCAGATAGATACCCCTGGATAGCCCCATTCACACGACTTGCATATCTTTTTAACCCTTTCTGTTTCCTGACCCTCCTTTTTGCTGCCCTTGTGGCTTCCGCTGCCCCAGTCTCCTCCCAAATAAAAAACTTGCTCATAATTCCTTGTCTCATTAGTCACAGTTTTGCTACATTCATACACAAACTTGGTGTTTTACAGGGCAATGTTACCTGTGAGAGGTGCAAGCAGCTACACTCTGACTTCCCACCATTGCCAGCACCATCTTGACCATTAAAGACAGTACAGCATGTGCATAGTAAAGCCCTTAAAAGCAATAATGCTAGGAGAACTAGCAGTCAGTGTAGATAAGTCTGGTTCCATAGCCTTTACAGGGCATGTGACACCTCCCCAGGCACAAGGTCATGGGATATTGGTAGCTAGGTGGAAGACGTGTTACTGTCTCACTGGGCTCCTGCTGCTAGAGAGAGCCCTTTTCTTGTCTGTAGATTCAGATCCATGAGCTGGTGCTGGATCTGATCCCTCTCCTGAAGGTTTTGGTGATCTGCTTCAGTGGTCTGCTCCATAGGTGGGTCTGTGGTAATGGCCAAGTCACACTGGAGTCAGTTTCAGTTCAATACCATATGAGCAGTCCTAGTTATACCTTAATTTGCAAGGTTTGGAGCAACTTGGAGTCCTTTTTTCCAGCCTGGATCAGTGCTATCCTCCCAGTGCACCCATTCATTTATAATGAACCATTGTCCAGGTTTTACGGGGGTTATAGACTGAAACTCAGGGGTTGTTGTAGCCACCCTTCCTAGTAGTTTCCCAATCCAACCCAGACTAAATTCTCTTTATGTAAACTGTTGGCAGCCTGAGACCAGGATCCCAGATGAGTATGTACCTCCAAAATTTTCCAATGGATTATCCAGTCCCAGGTACTTCCTCCCTCTACACCCAAATGCAGGAGGTAGGGATTGATCCAGTATCCAGACCCCACCTCTTGCAGTCAAAATGACTAGCCCACCATTTTACAGCCTTCCCACTGGGGAGTCCAGCGTCTCTCAAATATCCACCAGCTCCAGGGTGCTTTAGGTAGACTCTAGTCCACTGGCCTAGAATACCGCAAGCAACACTGTTCTTACATTAATGTCATTGCCGATTTTAGTGATTGTCCTTGTGTTGCAGACTTGTGAATAACCTTAAAATCAGGTTCGTACTCCCTGGAGATTTTTACAATTTTTAGAGTTTAACCTGAAGCAACCTGAAGCTAGCTAGGGAAAACAAAGGCAGTGGATATGTAGAACTAAATCTGAGTAAGGGAGTAATACAGAGAGAGTAACTGATCTGTCTTTCAGAGAAGTGTATGAAGAACACCACACTTCCTTTTAAAATAAAATAAAATTTAAAAGCTGACAATCTTCAATAGAAGAAAAAAAAGACTATGAGATCATTTTGATGATTGTTGAAAAGTGCTTAGTCTCACTATAAAATAATGTTTATCTAGGGAATGTGCTGTACAGGAGCTTCGACGCCAGAATCGTACAATCTCGTATCCATTAAGCTCTACATTAAGAACATCATCGCCTGAACATTCCCATCATCAGTCTCCTGATTTGTCTCTGGACTGGTCCCTGGAAGGGTAAATGGTTCAACAACATTTAAGTTCCAAACACCAAGGGGAAAAAAAAAAAAGGATAGACTCTGGTATTTCTTGTTGAAACATTGGCTGAATTCCATGGAATTACATTGCTCCAAGAAAAGTTACAAGAAGATTCAGGACCACAATGTTTTGGTGATACTCTTTTTATTTTGTTTTACTGAGCTGTATCAAAACTATATAGTTAATAGCAACTACTTGCACCAGGATGCTACAGTAATAAATTCTTAAAACAGTAACAGAAATTATGCTACAAAAAATCTCTATTTGAATTGCCACCATTTTGTGCAGGTGTAGACATAAATATTTTCATCTTTCCTACACAAAAGCTCACAACTATACAGCCTTTCTTCTTCTAGTAGTTTTCAGAATAGTTTTTACTCTACATATGTGCATTTTTTACAAGAAACATAAATGCATTCTAAAAGTCTTCAAATACTTGTAACCCTGAGAAGGAGCAACCCCAGCTTTCCTTTCAACAAAGTGTGAAATGGAGCCTCCACAAAATGCAGCTACTCCCCTATCAGTTTCAGACTCAGCTTAGTTTCATATTTGGTAGCTGCATGCTTGTTGCACCATACTTTTTTTGGTAGATTGATGGCAGCATGTATTAAAACAATTCCCAGTTGAGGGGGAAAAATTCTCCATTTGTGATTTGTAGAAAATAATTTTTGCTTCTGAGATGGTTATATACTTCCAAGATGAATTTTGTTAATACTTTGGTAACTGAGATTATTACCTTTGGCACTTGATTAATCTTTGTTACCAAAGGCTCCTCTAAGTATATAGGTCCTAAGAATACAAGACAAGTTTCCTCAGGTCAGTGAGCTGGTTCTGGTGCCCTTAGTAGGAAAACGCAGCTGTGCAAGACAGTGATTTTGTAGCTATTGCCAGTCCTTGATAGTAAGTACAGGGAGTCTTCTTTCCTCTGATGGAACCACGTCTCCTCCTCCTTAGTCTGAGTACAGCATAGCTCTTAAATTTGTTGAAATAAGCATTGTATCTTTTGGAATGGTTTAATTTACTTTTAATTACCGTAACACTTTCTTCTGTTTCTGATACTGTATAAAGAAAAGAGAGATCAGTCCATGTAGTCACCACACTGATACTAACAATTATGGTGCTTTTTCTGTTTGTATCACCCCCTTTTCAGGGTGATAGCATTCCTTTCTAGTTAGTAATCTTCTAGCTTAATACCAAATCAAGACTAATCTTCTACAAACTAGATTATGAATTCAACTTCTTCCATGTTTGCTTTTTGGGTTTTCTAGGTTTTTTTTGTGTTTTGTTTTGTTGTTTTTTTTTTCCCTAGCTGGCCTGATGTGGCATGATCTGCTTTTGCACATTCCTGGGGATCAATGAGTTTAAGTAAGGACTAAAAATGAAACATGTGAGTCAGGTATAAATACCTTGTTTGCTTAAAATCTTCAGCTGGATTAAGCTAAATCTTTCTCAATTAAACCAATGGGGCTTTTGAGTGCAAACAAACTCAATTTTTTTTTCTGCTTAATTATTTTCCATTTTTGAGTGCCCAATACATAAAGTTTTTCCTCATCCAGCTTTGTTACACTTTCTTGGCTAAGTGGGAAGAACTAGGTTACTGCAGACTTACTTATTTATACTAAATGGCTTGGGATTTTTTTCATTAAAAAACCCCTGTGCAATAAAAACTGAAACTTTGGCAGTCTGTGCTGTGTTTTAAAAGCTTAACTGGAAAGAATTTATCAGGTTTGTGTAGTGTGGTAATAACAGTGATGAATAAAATAGCCTGTTTGATAAGGTTATCCTGAGATAGAGCAAGGATCTGAATCTGGATCTGTCTGATTTACATTTGATTTACCTATGTATGGATGAGTGCTCTAATTTCCAGAATACTAAGGTTCTTGATAAATTTTGTGTCAAGAACTTGAAGTCCAGATCAAGAAAAAGACTGAATAGTAGATATGTCTGAAATATTTATGGATAATAAAATCACTTCCCCCCAAGCTAACTCTAGAAAGATTCAGAAAAATTCATTGAGATCACAATGAAAGAAAAAACAGTGTGAAGTATGGCCTGACAGAGAGTAAAAGCAAAAATATCAATGCAAATACTTGGGTGTAATCATCAGCAGAATCACAAAACTAAGACTTTTAAAATAGATACTTGGGGAATTGATGAAACAGTCTCGGTGTAAATTCTTGTTGGATTTAAGGCAGAAGAATACTAGAAATAATCCTCCAGGAGGTGAAATCTCATTTTTCAATTGCTTAAAGTTAATTTACCAGGGATTGAAAAAGATGCTGTACAAACAACTTTTCATTGATAGAGAAGCTAATGTCTGACTCTGCAGTACATCAAGTATAATGAGATAGTGGTGCTGGAGTCACCATTAATACCCTTCCTCCTCTACAGTGTTTTGGTGCTATTTTAGCAGACAGACTGTGGTGGGGGATGAGGCAGACAGTCACCTTCTCGTTTTGTTGAGAATGTGACATCAGAAGCAAATTGGACAGTAGCTTTTACTTACTCTTCCGTCTTTCTCTCTGTCTTTACTGCACCAGACTCCTTGTTTCAGTAAAGTGGAAAGGATGTGCCTTGTATTTTGTCTTGCAGACCTAGTGGGAAAGACATTTTCTGTCTGATTTTCTTAAGTGATAGCAGTCCAAAGCTTGCCTTTCACTTCAAAGACCATTATAGCACTTTTGTACAATAAAATCTTATCTTTCACATGATCTGGATTGACTGTTGAAGAGACTGGGAAGCCTGCTCAAAGTGCTTTCAGCATTAAAACCTTAACATTTTGCACATGGAAACATCAGAATGTATTGCTGCATTCACTGAAGATGTAACTTAGATTTCTTTTTTTTTTTTTCTTTCTAGGAATTCTTGTTTCAAGGACTTATGATGTTATATTCACAATGGCTTGTGAAGACTCTGCACGCCATCTGGAGAGTTAGAGTTCAAATGTAATGATAATTTAATGATCATTCTTTCCCTGCTTAATGCTAAATTTTATTAAATCTATTTCACAAACACTTGCACAGGTTTTTTGGTCACTCTTAATGTTGTTCAGTGAGAAGAAATCAGTCTAGACAGCTTCCTCTCCCACCCCTCTCCCAGCTCTTGCATTATTGTGTGACATGGCCCATCAGTAAACAGACACACCCCCCCGCCAAGTTCCATTGGCTGTACTGACGGTGTGCTTTTATTTTAAAAGTATGCATAATTTAAAAAGGTCATATCAATACCTGAAAAAGGTAAAGAAAATAACAATATGAAACTTTACTGGGGAAAAAAATGTCTATATTCAGGTGCTACGATGTGGATGTACGTTTGCTGAACTATGTGAGTATTATGCTTGAGAGAATGCTGCACCATCTCAAGATAGGAAGAGTTTGGGGGTTTTTCCCCCCACCTTCAAACCTGACTGACTTACTAATTTGGACAAACAAGATAGTCATGCGGGCAGATATCAGTGTTTTGATATCCATCTATGAAGGTACGTATTTTTTTGTATGTTTCCATACAGACTGGAGATGTATTCAACTTAAAGAATCTTATTAAAGCTGCACAAAGTTTCTATTTAGAGTTCTTTAGTGTGAGCGAGTATTGTTCAGTGATAGTTATGGGCACTTAAACTTGCTCAGAATTTCTGCACTTTATGTCATAACATTTGCCTGTTCTATATTCTCACGCTTTTAAATGCAAGAGAAAATGTAAAATTCTCTCCTATAAATCATTTGGGCAATCTATACTTCTGTATTTGGAAATAGAGAAGTAAATCCTGTTTAATTCATTTAAATTATCCACTTTTAATAGATTCATCCTTCTTGCTATCTTCATAAAAGAATTTTAAAAAATGTCTCCAGTTTATTTTGGAAAGTGAAGGCACGTTGGTCACGGTAATGGTTTAAACTTTTATGGTTTAAATGTACGTCTTGCACGTATGTTCCTTCATATGAATTTGGTTTGTGATAACCTGACTACTAAACATTAACACTAATATTTTGAGTAATAATTAAAGACCGCATAACCCATATGAGTGCTCTTAGCTGCCTTTTAAAACCTGTTGATATGGGCTGTAGATAAGATTCAATGTTGCTTTTTAGGAACAGGTAGCTTTAAAAAGCCTGTAAAAGTATTTTGATGAATAATGTAAAAAAACCAACCAACCAACCAAACAAAAAAGTAAAATATAAATATATATCTGTAACATAAATTCTAGGATTATCTTCCATAAGAGCAACAATATTTTTCAGTACAGGTGACTTGATTTTAATTTGTATGTCCTGATTCCTCATTCTTTATTTGGGGTACAGCCATAGAAGTAATTTCAGCAATCAGTCACCAGTGTTAATGGGACTACTTGCAAGTGATAGAGACTGTAGGATCAGACATAATGATATTAACCATTTCCACATTATGCAGTTATTAAAAGTCCTATTGCACACTTCCCAGATGAGAGAAGATGATCATCTCATCATCCCAGCAGATGAGAAAGTGTTTTGTTGTTTTGCAATCATATTGCCATATGGGTTTTTTTAGGAGATGATCACAAAAAAGTTTGAGAAATGTGATCTTAGTCTGTAAAACTAATATTTATGGATAATGTGATCTTAGTCTGTAAAACTAATACCTTCTCATTTAGAAGATGAGGAGAGATTAGATAAACATAAAATGGATACAACTGAGAAGTTCTTGGGAGTGGATTTACTGTGCAGTGGCCCATGTCCTAAAATGTAATTCCTTAATTGCAATAATGATACCTTTTCCATATAAGATCGTAAAGAAGTCAGTAACGAGGTGCTCCCCTACAAAGTAAAAGCACAAGATTCTTAAGCAATTTGGACTTCCAAAGTTCTTCTTTTAAGTAGAGAGGGTTAAGGGAATATGAGATTATAAGTATCAAGATGTAATAAACTTGCTTTTTGTAGTGTACTCTGATCAAGTTAACAGCCTTTGTTATTGGGGTTAGCCTTTATTTAGAAAATGTTATGGAAATGAGAACCTTGTTTTTCTGCAGGCACATTGCAAAGGGATCATCAGGTCATAGATGGGGACAAAGGAACTTTTGTCAATGGTGATGGGATGTAGACTTCAAGTGAATTCTAACAGCAATTAATTGCTATGTAATTATTGATGGTTAAAAAAAAAACAAACATTCAAGTGAGTACATTCAGGGAGCAGTATCACTGTAGAGGCAACTCCCCTACATCTGACCTAAAGCAAAGTCAGAAACTGAAAGAGAGAAAAAATGAAAGAATTAATTGAATTTGCTGAAGTTTGCAAATAATACCTCCTAGTTTAACAAAAAAGCTGCTAGTTGGCAATGTCTGTAGCAATAGCCCGAGAGGACTTGAACAGTGTTTGTTGGTTGGGAATTGTACATGCTGCTCCAATAGTGTATTCTAAAAACCTTCAGACCATTGCTGAATATGAAACTTTGCTTCAACCTCAAGTAAATATAGATAATAAGCTTAAACAAATTACGTACAGTTCCTCACTTTTGGTTGCAAACACTAATTTGTAACACATCTTACTTTTTTAAAAAAAACAGGAAGTACTACTGAATATGCCCAAACTGAAATATATTATACATTTTGTGATAGTGTCTATTTCCTCATACTGTGGGTTGCTCATGGTAGGGTGATTTTCTTGTTGTTGCTGTATTTTGGTTGGAAAGAAATGTACACTAAAAATCTAGTTATCGTTTGTTTGCATTTGTGACACTTATTTGCAACTGTGAACAATGCTATACTTGATTTTTATACATTTTTTTTAATTGCCTTTTACCGCAATATTTTTACATAGGCAAACCTGAAAATACAATCTGTGGGTTTATATGAAATAAGAGCATGTTAAACTTGTCCCCAGGGACTGTGTGATGATCTAAAATTACTTGTTCTGCATAACAGAGAATCCTATAGTATTTTAAAAAGTATTCATGCTCTTCTGCAGCAATATTTTTCTAATTTCTAGCCTCTGGTTATGGAGTTGTTTCCAACTGATTTTGCTTACCCGTGGCAATGGAAATGGTCACCATTCTTTAGTAGAAGGTATTTTACTTGAGCATAACTGGTTTACAGGGTTTGTATTAGAAAGAATTTAGTGCCTCTGGTGTCATCCCTCAATCTCCTTTTCTTCATCCTAGAAGAAACAGGAGCTACTACGTATACAGAACAGTATCTCCATTAGCGGTGTGGTCCCACCAAGAAGGAAGAATCATTGTGTGTTGCTGGGTAGAAGTATTTCACTGCTTTTTGTAAAATCTATGCAAGCAACATTGCAGCAGCATTCGGAACTTTGTGGGATTTATCCTGCTGTTGCCACTCAAAGAATACCAGATTTATGGTTATTTCCTTTCAGTCACTAATAAAGCTTGAACTTCAGCAACACGTAAGCGGAGTTAAGATTCAGTGTTAAAGCGAGTGGTTTTAGTCTTTGACCAGGAAGAACACTCATGGTGTGGGGTACTCTTTGGTAGTACTAGAGCCAAGTTGTTTATTTTACACCCCCTCCCTGCTTTCTTCTGAGAGCAACTCATTCAGTTGGTATCGGTAGAGGCTATAGAATATTAAATTGGCATGTGACTTTCAATATCAAATACACTTTAGCAGCTCTGTTTACTTTCTTGCTTTTCTATATTTATTTAATCTGACTTTGATATTAGCAGATCTTAAATGATACAATAGAATATATATAAAGTTAGTATATATGGGATATTTAACTAGTTAATTTGCTTGAGCTCCTCTTTCCACACCTGAGTGATTCCAGTGTGAATAGCCTTGCAACAAGGAATACAGGTTGTTTAACTGATACAGACTGGAGTGACTGTAAAGACGTGTGATGTTTTAATAAAATAAGAGGGTTTTTAAATGTATCTTGCAGTCTTAACAATCTTTTCTCTGATCCACTGAACCTTCATATTAATTTCCAGCAGAGGGAGTATGTGAAAAGAAGATGAATGAATCACAGGTAGCTTTGTGGTATTGACATACACAGATGTCTGAACACACGGAAAGATCATTCACAGTTGTTTTTTACGTTTTGGACACTTTCCACACAGAAGAAAAATAGCTTGATAAGATGAGTAAAATTTTCATGTGACTTTACTTGGATTGACTGTGTCAAAATAGAATAGCCTCATTTCATGACATCGATCAGAGTTTTTATTAATAAAAACTTTGAAGAAACAAAGTTTGCTTATAATTGAAACATTATGTAAGACATGGCATGAAATGGTTTCCATCCAATGGATTTTTTTTGACCTGACTCCCTAATATATTGCAATTCGATTTTTCTCTAGCCTGTTCCATATTTGACTTTTATTAAAATCTGTGAAGCGGTTTAATCATTTATTTCTGCAGATGCAAAAGTCCAAGCTTAATTTTAAGTTTCCTAGCTTGTGCTTCTCAACTATTGTATTTTCAGTGTTTTTATTTCCTGAGGTGAACAAACATTTTTTTTTTTTATCTTGAACGCAGCCTACACCCAAGCAATTACATAAAGTACACAAAGCAGGAAACTTCTTTGTTGTCAGAGCTGCAGTGCAACCTGGCAGGTGAACAATGTGCTGCTTAGATTTGCTTTACACAAGGGTACGTCTTTCCTGCACACGATAACATTTTATAAAATTACTGTTGCCAGAAGAGCATATGCATTTTAAAAACAGTGCTACTTAACAGAAATAAAACCTATAGTTGAATTCTTTTTTGACCTACAGTGGCTGCTCTAGAGGTAATGTTGAAATTATTTCTCATTTTAAAACTGTGTGCGCACCAGTTTTCCATTTTCATTTCTGCTCCCCTTACCACTGCTGTTAAGATGCAATCGAGCTCAGTGGCATTTTTCATTCTAACATTTTTGCCTTGGACTGTGAGACAATGTAGCGTGGTATTTCTTTTTTCAGGCAACACCTGTATTTTCTATGCAAAACTGCTGCTTTCAGACTCACTGACTT